TGCAGCAGCTAACATGCAGCAGCTAACGTGCAGCAGATAAATTAGCAGCTAACATGCAGCAGCTAACGTGCAGCAGTTGTCGTCCTCAGACTCACCACATGTTTGTGTGAAGAGCTGATTGTGTGTGGGTCTGAGCAGACTGAGGTGTGTTGTGTTCTCAGAGGATGGAGTTCTCGGTGAAGAACACACAGGTCCGAGGAGGCTACGTTCTGCACGTGGGTACGGTTTACGGGACCCTGAAGGTGGGAGACAGGGTGACTCTGCACGTAGACGAGGTGAGACAGGCTTTGATGATGATCAGAGTCGCTCCTGAGTGTCAGAAACTAAACCGGACCCTCCTTCAGGCTCGGCGCCGGCCCATCATGAACAACCACACCGCCACTCACATCCTGAACTTCGCCCTGCGGGGGGTTCTGGGCGAGGCGGACCAGAGGGGGTCCCTGGTCGCCCCCGACCGTCTGCGCTTCGACTTCACTGCTAAAGGAGCTCTGAGCACGAGCGAGATCCGGAGGACCGAGGAGATGGCCTGCACCCTGATCAGAGAGGCTAAGGTCAGGACAGGAAGGAACCAGAACCATCCCATCTTCAGTCAGACCAGGACCGCTTCAGTCCTGATCGGATCAGTTCACCTTCTAATTGATTGAAGATTTAATTAATTAAAGATTTTTATTAATTGAACATCTAACTGATTTGCTGTTAGGGACCTTCCTAATCTGACCCTTCCAACCTCACAGCCGGTGTTCGCCATGGACGCTCCTCTGGCCGAGGCCAAGGCCATCCAGGGTCTGCGTGCTGTGTTCGATGAGACCTACCCTGACCCGGTCCGAGTCGTTTCCATCGGGGTCCCCGTCCAGGAGCTGCTGGACGACCCCAACAGTCCTGCAGGGTCCTTCACCTCCATCGAGTTCTGTGGTGGAACGTGAGTACGCCTCAGCTTCTTCTGCTTCCAATGATCGAGATATAATCTGGTAATTATAATCTGGTAATTATAATCTGGTAATTATAATCTGGTAATTAAGTTGGTTCTGATGGTTCTGATGGGTCTGTTGGTTCTGATGGTTCTGTTGGTTCTGATGGGTCTGATGGGTCTGTTTGTTCTGTTGGTTCTGTTGGATGCTCTGCTGCTACATTAGTAAAATGTTCTGTTCTCTGCAGACACCTGCAGAACTCGGGCCACGCTGCTCCGTTTGTCATCGTGTCAGAGGAGGCCATCGCTAAGGGGATCCGCCGCATCGTGGCTGTGACCGGAACCGAGGCCCAGAAGGTCAGAGGAGCCAGAAGCTGCTGCAGCTGAACATGTGTGCATGTTGTTGTTTGTTTGTTTGTTCATACAGAGACGATGTACAACATTTCATTAAGCTTTTACAAGCAGAGCTGCATGGTACCAGATTACAGCAAAGAGTGCTTATTTCCACCTGCAGTACAAATCTGTGCAAACATTTTATAAGTGGAACATGTTAAAATGTTCTTTGTTCAAAGCAGTTGTACATTTTGCTGCACTCACCTCTACAGGTGACTCTGTCATGTTTTCTGTACCTTAAAGGTGGAGCAGTAATACTGTGAGGAGTTTTGTAAACGAAACAAATGTTTGCATAAAATATCAGATGTTCAAAGTTGAAAAAAATCTAAATTTGAAAGAATATGACTGATGATGTTGTCTAAATCAGGGGTCTTAACCTTTTTGACCTCAGGGCCCAATTTATTGAACATAAAGTGACACCCAGTCAGACATTACTAATGTATGGATCAAAATGATAATTATTATAAATATTGGTTCAATTTGTGTTGTATTATAACTAAATTAAATAAACTTACAGTTTAAAAGTAAAACTCCTGTCAAACAATCACAAGACATGATTATAACAAACATTTTATATTGTAACCTGCCCATAAC